AATCGATCCTATTTCAAAAAAGTAGTTTCGACACATATCTTGCAACAACTAATATAATTATGGACAAAACCTAATTTAAACCAAAATGGTTTAAATAAGGTTTATGAAGCCATTTATCATTTCTTTAAATGACAAAGAAATAATGAGTGAGAAAAAATGTTTAAAGAAATTATTTAAAATATGTCTTTATGGTTTACAATCTATAAATAAAAGTTTTTAACCGTAGATTGAAACATTTATTTAGATTCTAAAAAACTTTTCAAGCTTTTTTTAAGCTGAAAAACAAGTCTTTTTGAAACTAGACTGTTAGTGTTTAACCCTGTATAAAAGTGTTTCCTTAAAACATCATCTTTTTAGCACGCTTTGCTTACCTCAGCAATGCAAAATAACATGGCACAGTTAAGGACCAAAAACCCAACTTCTAATTTTGCGAAAAATAAGCTTTAATAACTCCTAGTAGTACCACTTTGGATGCTTAATCAACACTTTAATATAACGACGTCTTTGAATAGACGTCAGTGACATTGATGACGTTGGCCCTGAGTAGTATCAAAAAAGTAGTATTCCAGTATATATATATATATATATATATATATATATATATATATATATATATATATATATATATATATATATATATATATATATATATATATATTTATATATTTTTAAATATATATTTATATATATATAAATATATATTTATATATTTTTAAATATATATATGTTGTTGATATTAAGTTGGAATTACGTTAGAACTACAAAGACAAACAAATCGGAAAAACAATTTAAATAGACGTTGTCTCGATATCTATCCAACGTCGTCTTATAATTACGTTTAACGTGATGATATTGATGCCGATTTAACGTTATTAAAAGACGTTGTTCTAAAGTAAAAAGTTATTGACAGATAATGAAAAACGATGTGACGTTGTCAAAACTTAGCGATTATTGGTGATACTAATTTTTTTAACCTTTAAGTTATGAAAATTTAAAAAGTGTAATTATTATGACCAAAATTTAAAAAGCTTAAAATTTTTCAAAAGCTGATGTGACAGTGTGGTATAAAGATTGGGTGGAAATAACTCATATGTGCGATTCCAAGTTCGAGTTCTGACGATACCTTTTTTTCTTTTGTTAAATAAAAAACATTATGAATTTACATCGGAACCCCAACGTTGCCATATTTTATTTTAAACGTTAAACAGCGTTTCTATTTCCAACGTAAAACAGATGTTAATCCTACAATTGCACTGATGTTTTTTTAACTTTGACCAACGTTTTTTTAGTGTCACTTTAATCATATGGTTAAAAGCAAACTTTGGTGTGGACACTTGCCCCAACATATGCGGAAAATGTAAAAATATTTTCAATTGACTGAAACAATTTTTTAAATAAAAAAAAAGAGGTTTCTCAAATAAAAAAAAAAAACTTAAAGTGAAAAAAAATCAAAAATATTTTTAACGATAAACTTAAACTGTTATTCTACACGTGATCTTCTTATTTTTTGTTAGTTGCATACTAAATTTATAAAGATTTTTACGCATATTTTTTCTTTTTCAGTTTAATTTATATTATCTCAACTACATATTGATTACTCTTTTTTACACTATAATAAAATAAGCAAAATAGACTCTTATTAAAAAAAAAACTTATATTTAAAAAATACTGTCGAAAAAAAAAAGAATTGTTTGAATAATGTTATGCGGGATTTAGTTGGTTGTGTGGTTATAGGGAACTTGTAGAAAGCTGAGATAAGTGTTATTATTGAGATCCTTGGAGTATTTTACAAAGTACACGTATAGTTAGAAGTTTTCAAATTGACAATTTTGGAAACTAGACGGTTAAGAGGCGCTATGATTTCAAGATATTGAAAGGTAACAAACTTATTAACAGCATTGCAATCACACACCAATAAACTCTATACGTTTTTCCGGTCCAACATTAAACATTTGAGGAGCAAAACATGGAATTAAAACTGAACTGATCAGAAATTGTGTTAAAAGGTCTTATCTATCTATATACTTATCTACTTTTTAGCAGTAGGGTTGTTGATGTATGGAGTAGTCTACAAACAGAAGTCGTTAAATCTATTACGGTTAACAGCTTCAAATCAAACATGCAAAGGGTCAACTTCAAAAGAAGTAATAGCAAACAAAAAGAAAACCAAGAAAAATTTTTATTAACTTTTTAATATTACTCTTTATAATATACTGATTTAACTTATTAATTGATATTTATCGTCTGTCTTAAATATCGTACGACAGCATTAGTTATTATTATTATTAGTATTTTCATTAGAAACATTGTGATTTTTATACGCAAACGTTTTAATTATTATTGTGAAATTAAATTTTTAACTTACATTGTATGTATTCATGTCATAGTTATATTATTACTTTTTTTATATATTAAACATTTTTCATGTTACAATGTTTATTGCTTTATTATGAACTAAAGTTTTAGTTTTTTCCTTTATTTTGAATTGGTTCATTTTCATATTCTAGTTTTCCGATTACAACATTTTACACAGTTTTTGTTCCCGGGATCTAAGTGTTATATTTTAATCGCTTGTGTCTAAAGTACGTGAAAAAAAAATGACGAATGAACAAAGTATGTGAAAAAAATGACGAACGTCGATTACTCGACAATAACAAAAGAAAACTTCTTTTTTTTTTGAAATAAAACATTTTTTTTCATTTTTGTCGTAATGATCAGGTAAAAACAAAATTTGCTCAAGGAATAGACAAACACATTCGGAAACCACTCTACAAGGTTTAGAAATGTATAAATTTTCTAGATTGACGATTGCACTGTAGATCACTCTCTCAAAGTAGCCCTCTAATGCAGTCCTATATCATATTTTCTTTTTACTATTTTTAGTAACGACGTTTAAAGTCCAATATATCTTAATGAAAGCGCTCGCTTTGCTCCTCAAACAAAGATATGAACTTTCAGAGATATTCTGCATACCGCTTTGGTGAAACCTTTTATGAGAGTCTGCACCAACTCCACATAGTTTTTAGTTTGTTGATTACATAAGAAGCCCTAAACAACTGTAACGAAACTGCTCCAAGCCGTTCACTCCGTCTTGTTCAATAACTTTGCGAAATCTTCGCAGTCTATGATCTTCTTGATCTGTTGTCCGACTAATATATCAACCCTGACCTGGCCTCGAACAGCTTTGGAAAAAGACCTTGAAGCCATTTAAATGCTGCTGACTTCTTGCCAAGAGCAGTGAAAAATTGCTTAATTCGGCTTAAATTGACGTGCAGCGGTGGCATAAGTACTTTATAAGGTTGTATTAACGGCTCCCAATTCACATTGCTCCTTCCAAAAGAAAACTTGGTTCGTTTGTCTAGTCTTTTGTGCGATAATGCCCCTTTGTATCACAACTGTCTGTGATACTACGGCGCCACCAATAACCTCCCATCCGTGGTTGTCCTACTTAAATGCACTCAGCAACATTTTGACATTAGTGTAGTTCTCTTTGAGATGCCCAGAGTGGGCCATAGGGAAAGAGGGCAGTTGTTTCCATTGTGAAGTAACGCAGCTTTGGCGGCTCCGGAATCAACTGCGCCTGAATAAGTGGATTTAATAAGATTACATGGATTATCTATAGCCTGGAACAGACCGGCAGCATTGTTGCAGAAGCACACTCCATCACGCTGACTGAAGAAGTTGGAGAACTTTTGATGCCACTTCCTCGGATCTGTGACTTTTACGCTATCATAAACCAAGTTCAATTGTTTGAGCCTGGATATCGGAGGCATTTCATTTTGTAAGCCCGAGTACCCTAATTAAATTGTTCACATCTTTCTTATTAGGGAAATACGGCTTTCTATTCCCAACTTCATCTGCGGAATTATAGTCCTTATCTCCAGTTTCTGACTGTCTATCTGATTTGCTGCTGTCTCCTGAAGATTGCCAATGCCGCCCAGGAGGAGTCGGAATAGACAGATCGGGGCTGTGCAGTACTCCGGCAATGGAACAAAGTATGTCCGGATAAACAATCTGAGCGGCATTTTTGCCGGTGCGACAGTTTTTTGGGTTTACAATGCAAAGGTAGCAGTTGCTTGAGTGGTCCGTCGGCTCTTACCAAATTTGCGGGACAATTAACTACACGGCTTGCTATATAAAAGTGTTTTTTTGCTATATTTTTATTTGCAAATTTGTTACCAAGATTTATCTTGTTAACAAAGTTTCGCCAAAGTTTAACTTGTAGAACTCGCGCATTATACGACTTACTTCCACGGAATGCTTTTTTGCTTTTGTCTTTATAAACTGTCCGCAGTAGCAGAATGAATCAGCTGAATGAGAACAACCTCTTGATGTTTTATCAAATAAATAACTTTTCTTTAACGCGATTTTCTAAGTTTCATTGTCCCGATCACAGAAACCTGAATTAAAGCGCTATTTACAACTATTTTTATTAATTTTGTTATTTTTATTATTTTTATTAACTTTGTTATAAATCAAGTGAATTGATTAACCATTTATATATATATATATATATATTTATATATATATATATATATATATATATATATATATATATATATATATATATATATATATATATATATATATATATATATATATATATATATATATATATATATATAAATGAATAATTAATTCACTTGATTTATAACAAAACTAATAAAAATAATAAAAATAACAAAATTAATAAAAATAAGTTGTAAATAGCGCTTTAATTCAGTGTCAAACTGTTTACGTAAATTTTCATTTTGGTTATACACTATTCCAGAAGCAAATGTTTTTTTAATTTTTTTTTAATATTATTAAAGCAACGATGTTACTGTGCATTTAAACAGTTGCAAATATAAACATAAATAACGGCCTAGCAGCAAGTTGTTGGGCCGTTGGGCTAATGTAAATTATTTAAAACCAAATCTTTGAAGTAAATCAGTAACTACGTCATTTTACCTCATACATAAATTTAAATGAGTTGCAACAGCGATAGCCATTTAATAAAAGTTGTAAAAGCAATAAAATGTAAATAATAATGATAATATGGGTAGATTTTTATTGATAAACATAATTTTTGAGCATTATCTACAAAAACAGAACACGAAGATTTTTTTTTGTCGCACTAAATGTTTGTGAGTGATGTTTATTACAAATTATATGACTAGTTTTGTACCATTTTATTTTTCGGCTTTTGATTATTAATTTACTATTTTTTGATAATATATAATAATATGTAAAAATTAATTATAGTTGAGCAGGGCTATTCTAAAATGCATTCCAGTTGTGAAAGAAGTCTCAAAAGTTATATTTGCTATTAAATTATTATCAGTTAAAAATGACTAAGTTATTTAGCAAACACCGTTTGTACAAAAACTACCATTTTCAAAATTATATATATATATATATATATATATATATATATATATATATATATATATATATATATATATATATATATATATATATATATATATATATATATATAAATATATATATATATATATACATATATATATATATATATATATATTTATACTCCATTGATAACTAATTTGTTTCAAAAGATACTTTGATTAACTTAATCGTTTGTCTTACTAAAATGTCCAATTTTTATAGCGTGATTTTTTTTGTGGTATTTTCGAAATCTCAACTGATTGTTTTATAAAAATATTACCAACTTTTTAAAACTAAAGAGATTTAAATATACGTAGTAAATTTTTGAAAATATATTTAATGCAACACAATTAGAAAAAGAGTAAACAAGCACATTGCGCATAAATAATCTAATTAAAATCTGGGGTTTATTTTTTCTGTAATTATTCTTGAATCAAATAACCCGTGGCACTGTTCTATTATATTAATATCTGCTTAATCTTTATTTTCAGATAATAAAGCTAATATTTAACTTTAAGTAAAGCATGCTTAAAAGCTAATTCTTTTTTATTCAATTTAATTCAAAATCGCCATTTATCGTTTATAATATACAATTAGTTGTCGTAAACTAATTAAAATCCATACATATAACATTTTAAGCTATGCACACCAACACAAATATCGTTATTGCAAAACAAATAGTTACAAAAAAAATTGACCTGTACAAGATCTAATTTACAATGTTTGTAATTTATATCAAATTTAAAATAGGTTTTAGGAAATTTAATAAATTTTTTAAGGGTAAGCGGAATAATTTTGTTGATCGGCCTTGCATCCTTTTTTCATCTATTAGGCTGATGTAGATATAAATCTGTGTTTCATTGTTTCCTGCCTATGATGATGAATGATAAATATTGTTGATTCTACTCATATATTTTTACTTGTTCCTTCTTGATGCTATGCTCTTCCTGTAATCTCCTAATGACGTAAATACATTTAGTCCCCTGACTTTCATTTAGTCATTAGTGGTTAGAGTTATATGTAACTTTTGATAATTGATGATTGGGGGGTGCTATTTAAACTTTTGCCGACTGAAAAAAAAAATCATCGTTTTTTAAAATTTGCCGACTGCCATCCGACTGCCATAACGACATTTGCCGACTGACTGTCTAAGTTTACTGACTAACTTGTTGAAAGGGTCTACATTTGCCGACTAACTAGTCAAAAAGGGTCAAATTTACCGACTAAATGAACGAAAAAATCATTGATGACCCCCACATCCCTCCCTTTTCGCGCCAACCTTGATTGTAGATTAATAATATAAAAAGTTTGTTTCCATCTTATTTTTCGATTTTTTGATAAGTTAATAAACTAGAAAAAATATATATAGAAATGACAGCATATTTCTTTTGCGTTTTTCTCCGTTCATATTTTGCGAAACATTGTCTGATTGTAAACATGATGTCTTGAGAAGAAAAAATGCAAATCATTTCAAATTTTCGGCAAATGTGAAATTATACTATTTTTTGGAAAGTTTCAAAATTTTTAAACCCTGACTGAAATCTTTTTTTTTTTAATTTTTAGATCTGAAAAAGTTTTTTTTTTTTTAATACTTGATGTAAAAATTGATACAATTTTTGGCGTAATTTAAAAATCTTAAAATCCGAATGTCAATATCTTACTTTTCATATATCTAGAACATATATAAAAAATTTTATGGATTTTTTTATTAATATATTTTAAGTTATAGTGTTTTGAACTGACTCGTTAAAATTAATGTTTTTCGATAAATTAAAGGCAAAAAAATTGAGGCAATGTAGAAAAAAGCATAAAATAGCATTCTAAATGCAGTTTTTAATGATATAAAATTTAACTTTTATCTTTAAAGTTTGAACGTTTTCGAGTAATTATTGGTGTAGCACCTTAATTTTGATAGCTCTTCTCTTAAAAACAAGTTTTTATTCTTCAAAATCGAAAAACTAGTTTCGTTGTTTTTAATCATTAAAGATAAATCACAAATTCGTGTATCAATTAAATATTTTATTATCCGATCAAATATTCTATCCGAGACACCCTTATTATTAAGCAGCCGTGGCGCAGTGGAAACGCACTTGCCTCAGAAACGTAAGATCCGAGGTTCAAACCCCACCTCTGGGCAAGTTTTGCGACATCGGTTGGGAAGGAGGCGTGAACTTCCCATTAAATGCTCTTCCGTGGTGCTCTGTGATAAGACCGTAAGGACTTCTTGTGGCACCTTAATCAACTTATAAAAAAAAAAAAAAAAAAAAAAATTATTTTTAGAAACTAATAAGAAATTTACTTAGATAGTTTTTCTATTTTTTAAATTTACTCAATAGTTTTTCTATTAGACAAGCTATTAGTATAGAAACTTACTCAAAAATCCTACCGGTGTCTCCACGTTTTTTTCGTTTGAATAATAATAATAACGTTCATAACGCTATTATGTTGGTGGTGTGATCGATTGAAAAATTTCAAATTCGGTTAAGCAGTCATTTGTTGCTTTCTCGTCACTGTTCTATAAATATCTTGCGATACTTCGTCCTTCGGTGAGTATATTGGCATCATTTTTCTCTCCTTATTTCAAGTAAGAAACTTCATTAAAGCGGTACGAATGCATATAATATAAATAGTATATTATATATAAAGTACATAAAAAATTAGTTTGTAAAATTCTTTAAATTTCTATTACTCACATAAGAATAACGTTTTTACAATAATTCGAAAAAGTGTTTATTTATCAACAAAAAACAATTTAATAGAACCAATAAATTTGAAATTATCTTATTAAAACATATTTAAATTACAGAAAAAGTTAATTAAATAAATTAAGTTTTGTCAAACCTAATGAAAATACAAAGAACGTTAGTTTTTTTTTTTTTTTTTTTTTTTTTTTTATTATTATAATTTTCCCGCTTGAAATAATTACAACTCTTGTATTTGTAAAAGAAACACATGGCGGGGGCAAGAAGAAGACAAAATTGTCTTATCGCCAAGCCCCCCAGTGTGGTAATCTAAATAAATAGAATTATCAAAAAGCAGGGTGGTTATCTAAGCCCCCCAGGGTGAAAATAATAAGTGGTATCATAAATAGTGAAACTAAAAGCATGAAATACGATAATTGTTTTTGTAACTTGGAAAAAAAAATTGAATTATTCAAATTTAAAATTTTTACAATTTTATTTCTTATTTAATTTTGCCGCCCCTTAAAATAATACGAACTCAAAAACTTAAAATAACTCCGACATCAAAACGCCAACAGCAACAAATATCGTAAATGTTATGATTTTTAAGTCGTCGTTGTTTTGAGTAAAATTTCATTACGAAAGTTATTATAAAAATATCAGAGGTTAAAACTTTTTTGTATATCATTTTTGTATGATTTTTTTAGTTATGCATAAGGTTTTGTGCAATTCTGTATACTATATTTAAAATTGTGTACAAAAAAAACTTTTGTAACTAACTATAAACCAAATGGTAAAACTTGACTATGATATGATTCCAAAAATTATAGACTTTCAAAACCAGGTAATTTGCAACATGCTCAAATTAAAAGCAAGTGTAAGCAAGAGCGGATTTAGATTAGATTTTGGTAATGTGTAGTAATACAAGATAACAAAGCATTGTAGCGTAATAAACTTTAAGAAAAAGTCTATAACCTGATGTCCACAAGTTTGTTTCATATATTAAATTGATTACCAAAAGGAATAACTCTTACTTTAACTCACCTTTATGAAGAGTAAAATGATAGAAACAAGAAAAATTGCAAACATATAAGAGTAAAATGATTAAAACAAGAAAAATTGCAAACAAGTTCATTTTGTTGTTTATTTCAGTTTCAAAAGGCAATACTTATGAAGCACGTGTTTGTTGATATATAGCTGTTAACAAAATATTGATTATTGTATTCTATAATTGGTAAAAAATGTTTACCTTCTAATAGCAACTGATGGTAAATAATATAAAATAAAGCAACAAACTTTGATAAATTTTATATTTATTATGCTATTAATTTATTTTACATTATAAACTCCCAGGGCCAGGTTAAATACTTCTTAGCCTTCCGGCGCTTTAGGCCTTCTGGCCCCTGTTGGCCTCCTAGTATTTAAATTTAACAGTAGTTTAAAATAAAAAAATTTTTGTAACTGTTGCGCTATGGCTTTATAATGTACTTTCTTTTGTATTTAAACAAGCATTACGCATTATTTATTATTGAAAACACGCTGCGATTAGAATAGGTTTTAAAACACCTCTCGTCTGCATTTTAAGCTTGCAAATGCAGATATAAAATCTTTTAGGTTGATGGAATCGTATACCCGGTTTTTAATTTGAACAATAGAAAGATCTGAAAAACATTCCTGAAAAAAAAGTCCAAAATGAAGAAATTCGGTCAATAAGTGAAAATTAAGATCAGTAGGATATCGGTCAACAAGTTTTTGTGCACTGCAAGTAATCTCCGAGATATTCACAAGAAAACCAAACAGAGAGTTCAATCCAGAGTAGACTTTCTTTCTTATATCTAGATCACTCATTAGTTTGTCCGTGATCTCATTGCTGGCAATTATTTAAGATTGCCCAGAAAATACTGTAGTTTGCACACTGTTAATTTCAGCCTCTTGCGTGCTCTTGGGAGCCTTTAAACATAGAGGTATTCATCCGTGAGCACACTTGCTGCATGTAATGCTCCAGGGAGTTGTAAAGTTCTTTAATCATACCTAAATCAGACTTTACAAATTGCAGTTTCTTGTCAACTTTTTGAACCTTTCCATGATTCTATTCCAAATGATTATTAAAATAGTTGTCTCAAGTTGTTCCGTTTTGGTCGAAAGTCCAAAGGGTTCTGATCTTGGTTTTGCTTTCAAATTGTCGTTAAGATCAAGAAGAGCCTATGTAGAAAATAGTTTTTAATAAGTATGCACAATCACAAATAAAATTCGTTTTTATTTGATTTTCTAAATAATTCTTAATCACCTTGTAAATAGAACAAACCCTTTTCAATGGCTAAACAAGCATCAGCACGAGCTAACCAACGAGTTTGTAAGAGAGCCAAGGAAGCCTGAACACGTTTTCTAGCAAGGAACTTTGACTTTAAAATGCATTGATGCGTTAATACAAAGAGCTTTGATATCGATGTGTTGATGCAGAAAAAAATTTATGACGAGAACGTTGATCTCTTTATTTCTTGCTTGTAAACCATAGTAGACTCCAAACATATTACTGGCATTGTTGTATCACTAGCGACAGCAATTTTGAATTTTGATCGAATACTAATCTAACTTTTTCAAAACGATTTCAAGCATGGAAACTGCAAAATGATTATGCATGGGAATGAATGTTAAGAACAGCTCAACTGGTTTTCCGTTTTGTTTACATTGAAAGTAGAAGTAAAAATCATTGAGAAATATTATGCAATTTTGATTTTGCTAACTAAAAAAACACGTTAATCATATTACTAATAAATTCCATGAATTCGTAGATAAATTTTAAAATACGCCATATTTAAGTAAAGTTGCACATGCGCATTGCTATGTTTTCGGCTTATAAAAAAAGTTTTTTAAACGTTTTTTAAAGGTACCGTAAAATACAAAATCAAATAATAGAAAAAAACCTATTAAAACGTTTTTTAAACGTTTTTTGAACGTCTTAATTATACAAACGTCCTTTAAGTGACCATAAAACATTTACAAACCGTTTGCAAAACGTACTTGTACCCACTGGGTGAAGAAAAAATAATATATCTGCTCTAGAAAATGAAATAAAAACATAAAAAACAAATTACATTCCGTATTACCAAATTTTATGAACAGCTTTATTATGTAATTTTTGGTATAATCAATAAAATCAAGTACGCTTTTTTTGAATTTCTGTGAATACCTCTTCTTTAATAATGTAAAGCAGAGATGTGTCATGTTTTATTTTGAAATAAAATTATTAAAAAAAGAAAAACACAACACAAAATATTTTATAATAAAAAAATAAAAAAGACAATAAAATCAAAAAAAAGACCAAAATTGATTTTGCTTTTTTTTTTATTTTGATAATTTTATTGTCTTTTCTTCATTACTCTTTTTCCATTAATGTGTTTAATTTTTACTGCTTAGTTTGGTTTTTTTTATCTTTTTTTTTTAAACTATTACAATACAAAAAAATGCCACAATCATTTGCAGTTATTTGATGCCATAATCCACTTTTACTTGGTTAACTTATTTGGTTTCAATACTTTTTCTTGCTTTTAATGTCAGTATTTATATGTGGCTGTATAAAAAATATTATTCATTAGACAAGCACATAAATTTATATTATTAAAAAAAAATTATACCAGTCTCCTCAAAACTACGGTTGAAGCAAAACATGAAAACAAAATCTCCTCAGAGTTCATATGCTGAAATTTTTTGATACGATATCAAAAATATTATATAGAATGCTAATAGAACTTCTTATAGACGTCACAAGTCCGTAAGACGTTCTTAATACATCCTTAAGACGTCTAATCAACGTTCTTTGCCTGCTGGAACATATATAATTTGCTACTTATCTCTAAACGTATGCAAAATAATTAAAAAAGGTTTATTTTAATTTACTTTGATTTTACATTTATAGATATAATATATAGTTGTTCGTTCAGACTTGAATTATAAACACTAAAATTAATCACAAACAAAACAACAAAAATATTGTGTAAAATAAAAAAGCACGAATTTCAAAACTTGGGTTTTCATATCCTGTTTAGAACTTTGTGGTTTATTCTAAAGTCACGCATGCGCATTGTAAACATTTTTTGCGCATTATGATTTCGTGGGTCTTTAGGTTTATTAGATTTTTAATGGTTTCTGGTGTTTTTTAGGTTGTTTTTTTTAAATGCTTGATATCATTTTTCAAAATGAAACAATCAAATATTAATGACTGCATGACAATTATATTATGAAAATTTCCAGAAAGTTCAATGAATATCAAAACGATATTGTTTAAAATATTAAAGTTTAGCAAAAAATCACAATGTCATAATAATAGTTTTCAAAACTTAAATTGTGAAAACAAAAAACCCAAAAAAACCTAGAAATTCTAATTCATTAGGTTTTTTAAAAAAAACGCAAAAAACCCAAAACCCAGGAAGACACACTTTGTCCAGCCCTGTATTTCGTGAATGGTATTGATTAAAGTTAACTTTTTATTTTTGAGCATTTTAAGAAAGTTATTTAGTGATGTTATTTAATGTTTTTAAGCAGATTATTTTAAAATAAAATAAAATATTATTTTACGTTTATTAAAACTATTGTTTATTTTAAGTTAAATATATAATTGCAAGTTTTTAAAATAGTTAATTTAATTGTTTAAATTTATATAAACGTACACTCAGTAGCTTAATATAAGAAGAGGTGGTAATAAATGGTTGGGTTAAAATTTGAAATTTGAAAGTTGGGGTTGGTTAGTCTTAATAAACGGATTGGTGCAAAAATTTTATTTTTATCAGTGATTTTTATTTATCACCTTATATGGCTGGTTAACTTAAAATGTTTTCTATTTTTTAGTTTTGAAGTGCATTTTCTATGTTAATAGCAAGTAAAAAAAAAAAAACTTTTAAAAAAAAATTTAAAATGTATTCTTTTTATATTATATTAATATCATAATATTTAATATTTAATATTATAGTATTATCAGGATATTAATATGAAGGCGACCTATAAAAAGAACTGCTTTCGTAGTTTACTTCTTATTACTTCTCTAACAAATGTAATGATGCAATACTCTTACCCTGCTCGTAAGTCATCGAAATATTCTTTCACTGTTTATAAAGATAGAAAAATAGACGACAGTTCAAATACCATTGAAACTCATGCAGATTTCAAGGAATGTATTACTTCCTGCTATAACAAAAAAGAGAACTGTAAATCAATAGATGTCAAAATTGAGGATAACATTACATTAATTTGTCGATTTTTTAAAAATGATTTTCCAAAAACAAAGGAAGCTGAAGGATTTCTGTTTATATTGGCAAAACCGGTAAATTTTTTATATTTAAAAGCTTTTAAGCAATGTAATTTTTTACTCATTGATTATTTTACTTTTTTAGCCGAATTGTTCTTTAAGCTGCAGTTTAGCAACAAACACTTGTGGAAAATGTGACTGCAATCCATCTTGTGCTGCAAGAAATCGACGTCAGCATTTATGTAACTGTACAAATGGTAAAATGCTAAATTTTTTTAACTTTTGTTTTGATGCTAAAGTAAAAAATGGACATTTTCCATTTCAATTTTACAAATTTTAATGTAAGAGTAAAAAAATGTGATTTTTGTGGGGTAAGCTTCTTATTTATAGAATTGTGAGAGTAAGATTAGTATTGATGGTAATGAAGGGGTAATATATATAATTTTCTATTTATTGTATATTATCCAATTGATCAAAATATTATTTTTTGACTTTATGATTATGTTTAATGAGAAAAAAAAATCTAGCATCGACTTTATTATTGTCACCCCACAGCTAATATTAATTTATTTAATGATTTGTCTAGGTTTTTTTTTTATTATTAATAAATTTCGCTGTTTATGTATAAATAAAATCATAAAATTACAATGAAACTTTTACGTTACGCAAAGAATATATATAAAACAGACAGGGGTTCAAAGAAGATGCGGATGACTGATGTTACCACAATCTTTTCATAGAGCCCCTTTACAATAACATTTAAAGCCCACATAGCTTTAGCAAATTTACAATAAAATATTTTTTTCTGAAAAATACTACGTGAAGAATAAAAATTCATATATGCATACATACTCATATATACATATACACATAAAAACAGACACATACACAAACATACTTACATATATGTCAGAAATGAAGGAGATGCAATTTCATTTGTCGTTTAATAGAGAAATGCTTTTTAAATTTTTATACTGTCAGGGTTAGGGTTAGGGCTAGGGTTATGATCTGTACTATTATATATATATATGATCTGTACTATTATAATGGCATTTATTTATTGTTAAATAAAGCACTTTACAATTTTGCATAAAACAATTTATAATTTTGCATAAAGCACTTTATAATTTTGCATAACACTTTAAGTCGGCCAAAAGCACATCAACTTTCTCTCCAACATTTAATTTTCGTTTAACAAAAAGTTTGTATAAGCATCTAAAGAGGATGCTTCGTCTTGCTTATTTTCAGCGTTTAAACCATCGTATACTAAATAAGCAGTTCTTCTTAGAAGAATTGGAAAAAGTAACTTAATTTTACATTTTGCATTTCTGCAATCACTTTAGTTCGCTGTATCCAAACGGTAGCGTCCGATGTTTCATCAAACATTTCAAACATATCCAACAGTTTGATATTTGAATCCATGCCCGGTTAGCTTGTAACTTTCTTACTTGAAATAAAACTTCTTTTACACTTAAATAACTTATTTTTCTTAACCTGAATTCAACCCATCTTACAAAAGTTTTACATTCATTTATATAAAATATCTACCCACAAAATCAACGTTACAAAAACCACTTAATACATTACTACAATTAAAATAATTAAAAACTATTAGTTAAAGAAATCACGTAATTGCCGTAGAATATTCTAGAACTTTTTGCACTTTATTTACACTTATAGCAGAAGATTTTTTTGCTTCAATGAGACTAATATATTTTTTTCGTGATAGGTTCTCATCAAATATAATTCCCAAAAACCTTGTATGATTTACTCGATTTATTTCATTTTTATTGATTGACAGTTTTGGCAACTTTAATGGAAGATTATTTGATTGTCTTATTTTATGGAAGAGAGTGAAACTTATTTTTTCACAATTTAATGTTAACTTATTTGCTATTACCATTGGTTAAAGCTTTCTAGTTCAGTGTTCATTGTTTCGAACAATATTTTTACATCAGAATTGTTGTATAATAAATTTGTATCGTCTGCATACATAATTGACAATATTTTATGAGAAGCTTTATTCATATCATTAATATATATCAAAAACAATAAAGGTCCCAAGATTGATTCCTGTGGGACTCCGCAAATAATATCAAGAGTTCCTGAGTCCTCCAGAACAACATATACACATGTTTTATTTTCTTTCATATGAGTTAATGCCAGTGCCGCCGAGAGGGTGGGGGCGGCGAAAGGGACAGTTTGTCCCTGGCGGCAGATATCTAGGGGGCGCCAAATGAAAAGAAGGTATCTAAAAAAAAATGTTCCTCTATTTATAACATAAGGAAATTTTGATAAATAAGGGCACCAATCGGGGTGTGTATGCGGTTTGACCTGGTTTTACTCTAATATAAAGTGATTAAAAAAACATAAATATATTTTTTTGGTAATACATTTACCTCTGGTACTGTTAGAAAGATTTGTAACGTTAGAAAGATACTATTGCTGAAATTTTTATCAGCAAAACATAGCAAAGAAAATAATTTCGGCCAAAAAAGGTTTTAAACTATATCTGAAAAAAATGACGTGGTAATAAATGTTTTTGAGGTATCTTCTGGTAAACTTTTATATATTTTTAATTCGATTAAACCAAACAAAGGCACAGGTTTTAATGACATAAACTCCAAGGATGTTAATGTTTTTGATAATATTAAATACAACTTTTTTTTTAAAAGTTGATTTTTTTCTGACAATTTAAAATTAACAAGATTAGGTCCAATATTTAAAGATGGTTTCAACATTATCAAACTCTAGACTTAATACTCTCAAGCTTTTCTAATTTTCCGAGTTGGAAGTTTCCTCCACGTCTGAAAATTATTTTTCTTGCATATCAAAAGATGCTGCCGCGATCTCTAAATATTAAAGAAAGTATTTATTGCAAATTTATCCTATAATAATTAAGTTCGATTCAAATTTAAAAAAATAGTTATTTGTAGTGATTGACCGAAACAGAAATAAAGCCGAAACCAAAATCAACCGAAATTTCGGGTACTCAAATTTGGTGTCGAAACCGAAACCGGAATTTCAGCAAATATTTTACCGAAACCGATACCGAAATTCCGGCTAGTCAAAATTTATTTTATTAGAAAAATTTATAAAAAATGCAATTTTACATTTTTTAGTTTTTTTATACTCGTATTATGTTAAAATTAGTTACACGTGAATCCCATATTGAGATTTAATAGATAAGTCGGCAGTATAAAATGCGAAATTTAACCACTGGCAGATTTTCTCCGCAAAACAAGATGTTGATCACTAGTTATTTGATTAAGACATATCTTAAAATCTTTCCTATCATTAAAGTATAATCTCCTCTCCGTAGATATAAAAAAGTTCTTAAAAGCACATAAAAGCGTAAATTTTGTTGCTCATACAATAATTCTACGTATCAAACTTTTGAAAAATTTAAAATATGGTGTTTTGGTATGCTTCTATCATCTGTGTAGATGACAAGGATCATTTGTGCAAGCAAAAAAAAGGCTGCAAAAACCCATGATACCTCTTCTGACCATGCGCAAATTTTTAAAACCGTTGAATAGATTTGTTGGCAATTTTTGACTCCTTTTATAACCGTTGTAATTTTGTAATCGAAATTGTTGTAATTTTGTTATAGAAAATTTGACATTTTTAGTAATTGTAAACGTTACGCATCTAAAACTTCATTTCTAAACTGTTTCATTTTAAATTTAAATTTATTATAAAATATTTCATATTTCTTCTTCTTTTATAAATATCTCATATTCCTCTTACTATTACTTACTATTGACATGTAGAACTCAATTAAAAAGTAAACAACTTTATATTAAACTTTAAAGCTGTTCAATTATTTTACAACTTAGGACGAATAATATTACTGAATACCATTGCATGGTTATATGGAAATTAAATCTTATATCTATAAGTTATTAAAACGAAAAAAAAACATTATGCGCATATTTGCGCAACAATTTTATTTCTTCTTTTTTACTTTTTAATTAAAATTAATTTTTTTAAGCCACTCAGTGTAGTTAAGGCGATTTATAATTTAATCAATTTCTTTTATTTGGAATTAGCATGACTTTGTCAGCGTATTATGTCCAAACAAAAACTTTAGATGCTATAGTTATTATTGCATTAAGTTTTTATTATGTTTGAAGAAACATTTCTCTTTTTTATAGGATTTTCAAAACTTTTTATTTCCTCCATAATTGTGAATCTAAAGAACACCATTTTTGAGTCTTTAGATCAAATCCGCTCAACAGCGTTAACTTTATTTAAGATCCTATATCTAATTGGTTTTACTACATAATAATTATGTATAATTGTCAAAACACAGCATTTCTCTCAATTTTTGCCATATATATATATATATATATATATATATATATATATATATATATATATATATATATATATATATATATATATATATATATATATATATATATATATATATATATATATATATATATATATATATATATATATATATATATATATATATATATATATATGTATATATATATATATATGTATATATATATATATACGTTGTATGCTCCTACGTTGAGGAAAAACTAGGAAACGAAAGTTACCACCTAAAACTTGGATACAAAGTGTGAGAAAGCAGCTAAGATAATCTGATCAGCCGTATAAATATAAAAAAGGGAGAAAATGTTTCATGCAAATTTGTAACAATAAAGAAAGACTGTTAAATTCTTGTAAATTTAAATACACAAAAAATATTTGTGATAAAAAATAATCACGTATATTTGTTGATTTTTGGTTTGTGATATGTTACCCAAAAATCAGAGTAGTTTAACAAAAGTTTAAAACCAGGGAATTCTTGTATACAAGAGGTTGATAATATTCACAGTCAAATTAATAGAGGGTTCTCGCTCCCGGATGAAATATTTAGTCCCCTTGATTTAATCAGAGCAATTCCTGCTCTTCAAAAAAAAATTTAAAAATTTCTGTCTACCAAATGAAGAATTTGAATTTCAAACATTATTTAGGTATTGTTGGCTTTTTTAATTTTAAGTTTGTTCCCTATATCTAGATAAAGCATCTAGCATTTAGATTATATATACTAAAGAAGACCATGTTATAATTTTTGTTTACAAGCATGAGTTAGCAATCAACGATCTTAGTCATGGCAGAGGTATTAATGTTTTCTGCCTTGAATTAGGGTGTTCAATTGAGCACCCTGATTTAATTAACCCTTTATCACCCTGAAGTTTGATCAAAGTTTAAATGATAAAGCAAATGTCCTTTAAAA